TGGGTACGAGTGGGAACTCTGGATCGTTAGCGGAATGTTCCTGCTTGCTAGTCCGCAAAGATTCGGCATCGCAGGATTGGGTAACAGATGCTAGAAATGTCAAACGAAGTCCTTGTGGGGCTTGACTACTTAAGATCCCGTATCCCAAGATTTGTTTTTACAGGATCAGATGGTTTGAGTACAATCTCTACTTTCCTTCGCTTTCTTGAGAAAGAAAAGAGTAGAAAGAGGAAGTTTAGTAGCTCAAACTAAATATGTCATGTGCTATTTAATGGTTTATAATAACACAGGAAATGATCAAGAAATAAATCTTAAGTGCAAATTATTTAAAACTGGTGTTACAAACATCAAAATCATGGGCCAGGGCTTAATTTTTAAAATAATTTTTTTTTTATTTTTTGTGTCATAATTTTCAGTTAGCAAATGAAAGTTATCGGGTTAAACTTTCATTGAAGTCTCGATTGATATTTCAAGCTATATGTGAAGAAAAATGAAAAAAAAATGGTGAAAGGAAAGGGAAGAGAAGCTTGCGATTCACAAACTTTAGATTAAATTCAAAAATATCATATACGGCTTCATTAAAAAGACTCAGTAAATTCAGAAATAGTATATACTAATCTTCAGTGCTCTTTTTAAATAAAAAGATATTCATTACTGCCAAACGATGAAAGTTAAAACTCAATTAAAAACGAATATCAGTTTTAAAAGGTTTGTTTCTTTCTGCATTTCTTCTCTCAACTCTAAATGATAAAAAATGATAACCTAATGATAAAAAAATGATAATCTAATGATAAAAAAATGATAATCTAATGATAAAAAATAAACATAAATCTGAAAACTTTCAGCTATTATATTACGCTTAAAAGGGCGTGTTTTTAACTTTTTGTGTATTTATTAAATATCATGTTCTTCACACTTACAACACATAAATTCAATTCTACAACAATATCACAAAATATTTAAAAACAGCATATCTTTAAAATTTCCGGTAGACAGTCTACCGCCCTAGAGATAAAAATGAATTTTTTTCATATAGGTTGCCACTGCTCGCTTTAAAATCGTTGAGTTTGTTAATAAAAAAATCGCTAAAGTTTAAAAAAAATATGAAGCAGATAATAAAACATATTCGAAATTCAAATTCGAGCTAAGTGACCATGCTCGGTTGGAGGATTACGTTATACGCAATTTGATGGCTCTAGATACCGTCGTTGTTTTCACAGTGGAAGAAAAATACATACATTCATGCAGATTCTTCATTGTATAATTTCCTTAAATATAATACAGGGCGATAATATTTGGTGGTAACAATTTAAAAAGTGATACGTCATTTATACTAAACCGATGCAAAATGCCGTTTCGAGATTAATATCCCTACTGGTCTAACACTCCTTTCGGCTAAAAAATAAAAAATGCAGTGTAATATAGAAACCATTAGAATTTCGGAGCAGATAAACGGGAAAATGTAATTGTACCCTTGCTGGGATTCCAATCACCTATCGTCCATGTAACTAGTTGAATGCGTTAATCGCTTATACCATCACAGCAAGCAGGAAAGATTGTAATAATTCTCACACTCTTCGCTACTTACGGCGAATGCAGAGAAGCATGAATTATGTCCACTGCACTATAATTCACTCCCCGCTGTAAAAATATTTTGAATTTCTGAAGCTAGAAAACGTAAGAAATAAATTATGGTTTAATGCAGATTAGAATCAAGAATTTTCCATTCTAATAATTAGACTTGCTAACCATTTATCCTAGTACGAAATGATGCATGGCATGGGAAGAATCGGATTAATAATTACATACACTATATTTAAAGGCAGTTGAGGAAAGACATGCGCCCAGTAGCCTGAACTCTGGTGGTGGTAATTTATTCTCCATCATATTTTAGTTTGGGAGCCACGATAGAGATGATTAGAATTTTCGCAGCAGAAAACCTGAAAGATAAGCTGTGTTCTCTCCGGAATTCCAGCCACAGATTTTTCAGTTTATAGCTGAATGTGATAAATACTTTATTCTATAATATATATATATGTAATGTTTATGAGGTTACGTAACTAAACTACATTATGATTTATTGCTATAAAATGGATACAAATCTATTATAGAAAGTTACAAATTAACCAGCACACAAAAGCTTGCAAACTTCACATGCTACCACGAACGCTGAGTGAGATGTTGTAAGGTTTATGTTAATTTTATTAACATTTAAATCTTGAGTTAAACGCCCTTTCGTATCGCTTCTTAATTTCAACTTACCACTTCCGGCCAGAATGTAGTTATAGAATCACGTCTGAATGCTAATGAGGAAGAGCGGTATTTAACCGCGAAGTTCTACTGTCTTAGTGAGAGAGATACCAGATATATATGTTCGCCTTTTTAGGCTACTCTCTCGTTAGCTATTATTACGCTCGGCCGTACTTTAGGCCCTAGATAGCTTCGCAGTCGATGAGCGTTAAGGGGCCAACTCTGTTAGAATTTTGATAGCTTCGGCTATATCTCTCTAGTTATGATTAGTTTAATTTAATTCTTAGTCTCTTAATTTGAAGCCCGAGTTTCGGCTTTATTGTACAACTAAAAGACGGAGTTCTGTTACACTTGATTAGAATAATAAAAGGTTATTTTACACTTCGATCTTGTTGTTTTCTGTCACACGGACTCAAGCGATTATTCGCTTATCAGTTCTTAAGATTCTTCACTTTCAGCGGTAACTTAGAATTACACAGTGGAGAATCCTACAATGTAAATAAAGTCAAAGATAAGCTACAAAATAAATTGAAGTACATACTGAAGAATATTCCCGAATATTTCGTTCATCTAATAATAAAGTGAGGTCACGTGTTGTGAGTATCAACCTAAAACGCGTCATATTACACTTCTCATCTTCGTCTGAATCATTCATCAATTCATCTATAAAGGGTGATATAACGAAATTCACAGACACTTTTTATCGTGTTAATTGTATTATTGCAAAACACCTTAAATTTCCAATTTTTCGCATATGAAGTGCCTCCGGTAAAGCTCCATTGTCTCCTCAGCAGCTGAGAAAATGTTGTTAAAAATATTTTTTTCCCGGCATTTTGTCTGCATTTTCGGAACTTCAAAACGAACTTGAATTGCTCGATCTGTAGAGTAGAGTTTTTTAAACATTTCATTTGCTACAGAAAATGTCTAGTATCAGTAATGCTCATAGCATCTAGCGAGACAGTTAATTCTTAATGTACACAGACTCAATACATTTATTAATTTAGCCAAATGCACTATTTAAAACTGAAATTTATGTTTGTTGTAACTTTCTCTCTATAAATTTTCTCTCTTGCAACATACTCTGTAGTCAAATACCCCCATACAGTAAACGTAGCATTTTATGTTATCTGTAATAATTATAAACACCAGGATCATTTATTGAACCTCTTTGAGAGGACCGCATTTTCAAAATGAACAGCATAGCCTAAGATATAAATTAGCATAGGCTTTGATCTTTGCTTCCTTTTTAAGGTGTTTCTCCCGCCTTCCTAGCATTCCTTCGGGGTGTGTGTGGGGGTCTGTATGCTGGGCGTGCATTCCAGATGTCCGTGGTTCGATTCCCGACGAAGGTGTTGCTCATTTTTCACTTCTCCTGCTTCCAAAAAATACCTAATGTCTCTACAGTGGCGCCCGAACTAAAAGGGTGGTGGAAGATGATTCTCTACACTCAGGATTTGGCGACTGGGTCCCCTAAAATACCCAGACGCCCTTTAAAAGGGGGAGTATATAAGGTATTTCTCTCGCCTTCCTAGCATGTCTTCCTGGTGTGGTGGTCTACACGCTGGGCGCATATTTCGATTCCTATCGAAGGCGCTGCTCATTTTTCATCTCTCCTGCTTCGAAAATATCTAATGTCTCTACACTTTAAAGTGATCATCTCCACAAAAGGCAAAATTATCTTGAATCTTACAGATGGTGATCTTAACAGAGAAATCATTGTAATAGTTAAAATTCGGAAAAGCCATAATTTAGAAGGAGATCTAGATTTGCATATTCTTCCTTATAACCACATATTTCAAAGGCCAGTTTAAAAGAAAATTTCGGTTTTTTTTTTTTTTTTTTTTTTTTTTTTTTTTTTTGTATGAAAAACACGTAGCATCAGCCTTGTTTTTTCCATGATTCGAACCACGGAACTGTAAACTGAAAAACAGGTTGTTACTACTTACACATCGACAAGACGCACAGAGGAATGAAATAATTCCTCATACAGTATGGTTATTTGAGAAGAACTAAGGAAAATAAGGCGGTGTGTTATTAAACTGTAAACTTCCCAAACTTAAATTTTATTAAAATTATTTTAATTAATAATTATTTTAATTAATTTTATTTTTAAGTAACATTAAGTGTAATAATAATATTTTAAAAATGAACAAGTCACCTTCGCTCTTTCTGAATTAAACTACGTACCCAATCTCGAATACCTGCAATGCATTTTATACTTACAGACCATTTCCTGAATATTTTTCTACCAAGATGTTCCTCAATTCGCACGAAACTAGACGTTGCCATACCTTCACTGATGGTTACCATATATTTCTCAAGGGTGAAATTTTTCATCGCCTTTTCTAAGTTTAGAACCTTACCTGTCATAACACAAAGCCCCCAAAAACTCTTCATAACTCACTTTTACATGAGAACATCACTCACACAGAGATTTCATTTTGGTGATAAATAAATTTTGCAGAATTGCATTATGAACCAAAAGACTATATTTTGTTTTCTTATATTCTTCGAAGTTTAAAGCAATAGAAGCTGAAACAACTTATGGAAATATTTTGGCAAAGCCTGTGCACAAATTTGACATGTTTAATACTTATAGCACGTATTCATCAAACTAGTTTCATAAGCCTGGCCAAAAGCGATAAGACATCTTGGTAGAAGGGAAGCAATGTAATCTGCGTTTGCAGCTACTACTACGCCTTGAAATACGCTACGAAGAATGCTGAAAGTCAAATAAATTTAAAACTTACCTCGGGCTCGACGTCGGTGAAATTGACGCTGGATACGAATTCTCTCAAAAATTTGTCCAATTCTCGTCCTTCGATGAATCCGTTACCTAAAAGAAAAACATTTCAATTATTAATCTACAAGATTCATAGGAGTCTCTCCATTTCATTAATTTCTTTTCTTTTTCTATGCATTTCATTATTTTTTGTGATTTCGTTGTAGTTGTCTGAAAATTTCTTACACGTAAGTACCTTTAATTATACCTTTCATTGAAAATTTTACACAGATAATTGATAAGCTTCGAAACGTTATGAATACGTTACAAGTAAGGTACAATAACATTCCAACAAATATTAATTTAGAAGTCAAACAACAAAAATCAGCGTTATATTTTCAAATTTCCACAGGACTAGTATCGATGGTTTTACCAAACCATCATCCTCAGCTGCAAAAGCGCGAATGAACGAGATAAGATATAATGATTAGATAAGATAAGATTAGAAAGCCTGGACAGGAGTCTTTAAGAAATTCAGCCTTTAAAGAAATTATGTTTTAGTTCTGATTTCATCAACAGATGGCGCCAGTGCTTTATCTCCTGTCCAGGCTTTCTTATCTTATCTTATCTAATCATTATATCTTATCTCGTTCATTTGCGCTTTCGCAACTGAGGATGATGGTTCGGTAAAACCATCGAAACTAGTCCTGTGAAAAATTTGAAAATATAACGCTGATTTTTGCTGTTTGACTTCTAAATTAATACGTTATAAGTATTAGCATGAAGTTTATTTTAGAGTCAAGATCTAATGATTTTACTAAACGTATCAGAATAATGACTAGAAACCTTCTAGAGTCAAGCGGTTCTTTAATACAAACTACAAGTATTTTTAACTTTTGCAAATAGTTTAACAGTTGGTTATGTGTTAGTATTGTAGTCTGCTAGTGTGTTTTAGAACGCAAATTCTCTAAAAGTTTGTTAAGTCTATATCTCTTTGGGAAAATACACTAAAGGCTTTAAAAAGGTCTAATGAAGAATTATCTTCTACTAGCCTTGTGAAGCAAAACAAAAATCAGAAGGAGGGTGTATAAGACCCTTTTATTTCAACACAACTTAAAAAATGACCCAACTTGGGTTTGGACGACCGACGGATTTTTTTTATTTTCATTAATTTTGCATTTAAGTGGTTAAAGTGACAAACATTTACCTGTTAGAAACTTTTGAGGAGTTCATTTCTATTTTATACATCTTGCATTTGATCTGCATTGTTCCTCATGGGGAAGAAGCTTCCTTACATCGCCAACGATTAAGGATAAATTCTTGGAAATAATACATAAAAAGATCTTCCTAACCTTAGAAATGTGAAGCATGGTAAGGAAATGAGCTAAAGAGAAATTTTCGTTTAATAAATCCAGGTCATTTACAACACATGAGTATATAACAAAAGTATTTTTCACTTCATTAGATTTTTTTTCTTGCGCTCATAATAATTTTCTCTGTGTGATTTTTTTTATATTTAAAAATTACATTAGTTTTGTAGTTAGTCTTGATTAAATAACTTCTAATGGGTGAATGATTATTCATGTGTAAACATTTAATGTGAAAATTAAAATGGAAAAATAATGATGAAATAATAAAATAAGTAATAATAATATAAAATAAATGAAAATTAAAATGGAAATGGTATTAAAATGCAAACAAAACTCAGGAAAACATGACCTCAAAATGACATGACGTCTCAAAATTCAATAATCCACGTAACCGTTAGTTTCGAAGTTTGAAGGTTATCTTAACTCTACTCTGCTACTCTGTTCCTTTTTCTGATGGAATGCCAGTTGCTTCTGTGAAACATTCTAAGTTCGGAAAAGGTATTTTGACATCACAAAAACGTTTGAGTGTTAATCGAGCACGTCAGAGCATGCAGCAGCTATTTGTCTAAATAAAGAGAAGTAACGTGGAGGACCTTTAAAAGACACTGTCTCATATTCACGTATATATATATATATATATATGATGATGAACCAGCTTTTGTCGTAGCTTAAATTATCAGACGATAAGTTTAAAAAACAGGATCCATTTATTATTATTCAGGAGAAATAGTAGTTACAAAATCAGATATCCGGAGTAAATAAAAAGAATTACTAATAACTTTTTGTATGAAGTTTACTGCATCGTGACATTTAAGAAAAAGCCCCCGATATTCCTTTGTGAGTCCTTTTATAGCCCCTGGAAAGGCGGAGCTTCCAAGAAATGATGTCAGCCTCGTCAGCCAATTCCAGTTCGCTTTAAATTTATTTCCAGAACATTATATAACTGTATGAGATAAAAAATGTGGAAAAATCTATACTATGACTACAGGGTGCTTTGAATTTAAAGTCCCGGACCCATTTTGACTTTCTAATATGAGGCCATAGCCATTAAAAATGAAAAAGAACATACAGTTAGAATTTTAAGTGTATTCTTGACTATAGAAATTTTATTATTACATATATATATATATATATATATCGTAAATACACACACACACACATATCTATAGGAAGAAACATAAAAAAATCCTGCGCAGACAAACCTTTTCCCGAAATTTGAAATTAGATAAATACTAGTGTTCAGCGGTCTTATCCATTCATTCACTGGTAGGCAAAGATATTTAAATATGGAAATAATAATTAAAAATTACAATAACTGTTGCTTTTATGTTGTAACTAATCTAATTTGTCTGATTTCATCATCAGAACAAGTCCAGAAAATTTATCGTGACAAATAGCACAAGATTAAGTCTGTCACTGGCAAGAGCCTTGAGCGCCATCTAAATGGGAGTACTTTTATTTCCTAGTCCCCCCTCCTAATTTTGAGACAGTAACCCGGAGAATGGGTCTGAGGGTCTCCCACACCTTTCCCCTATCACCAAACTACATGAAAGGATTTTGACTAGCCATATATTTAGAGTGTCCCATGCCGTGAAGATATACATTAACAAACACGCATGATTTCTCCGTGATTCGAACCCTGGCCATTCGGTACGGGTGTCGGAGTCACTAACCACTATCCCGTTTAAACGGCACACATTGCAATACAGTTTAGAGAAATAGGAAGGGACATTTGATGTTGGTGGCAGTTCTAAATATCCTCTACAATCACCAGAAATATCCACCAAAATTTGCTCTGCATTCTATTATTACCCTAACGAAGATCTATTTAAAAGAATCTACTTAATATATTTTTTATACAATGATTGCTTCGTATAAAAATGATACTTGTTTGCATGTACTCTAGATGTACTGATGACAAAAACTGTGAGGACAGATGTCAGTTCCAGCTTCACAACGTTTTTCGGGATGACAAGATTTTATTATACATTAACACAACAGAATCCTGTTTTCTTTTTATACTGATAACACATTAAAGGCGGGGGATCTTGATGAAAGTATGCTAGGTAATGCGGCGACCGCTTCGCTCGTTTTTCGACCTAAAGCGGGCGATATTTTGCGTAATCATAAAAACATTTAGAATTAAAATAGCTTATTTAAACTCTTAAAACTACAAGAAATATTAAAAAAGAACTAAACACTAATTACAAAAAAATGTTTTAAAGTACATATTTAAGAGAAGAATCTAGTATTTTTATGAGTGTGATAATGTTGATAACACTCGCCACGGTGAAGAGGTGCATTGCAAAACTCGCATTTGAAGCAAGTCAACTTTCTTTTTTTTTATGTGTCGCACAAACTACGCAGTTTCGTTGGGCATATAGCTTTTTGTCTCTATTTTCTAATTTCGAATTAATTTGTGCTTTTTGATGTCTAGCGAAACGTCCAGGCGGATCAATTTTATATCGTGGAGTCCGTGGTGCCGAGTTCGATGTACCAGGTTGTGGCTCTTCAGTGTCCATCAAATCGTCTGCATATATATCATTATTTTCACGTGAAACCATATTGAAGAATTTCAAAAGTTACTGTAAGTAGGATTTGAATAACCGAATAGCTTCAAAGCACAAAACATACTAAATACAAATGTAAAGTGGAGCATGGATTGCGCAATGTGGTTTATCAATGCACTAGCTACAGTCGAGATAAATGCGCAAGCTATAGTCGAGGGAAGACGCACATATAACTTGATGTCCAATGTAAGCTTCGCATCTCTGAACTCGAATCCTTCCCTAAATTACTTTATAACAGGACATGGACCCTTCCCCACATATTTCTACGCAAGAAATTTGGCAATTTCTGGTATCTGTATATGTGGGGAACAGGGAACTCCTGTTAATTACGTTTTCTCATGCCCCTTAACTGAGGATATTCACATAAAATCCCCAAGAACTGACCTCCTGGCATTCCAAAGGTTTTTAATTAAAGATAAACATCAATATCCAAAGTTTCAGAAAATTATGCAACGACTCTCTTCCTACGGGCCTAGATCTCTGTCAAGTGTAAGTTCACATACAGTTTAAACTTAGTGAACTTTTGCATGCTGTGATTATAGACAAAACCGCTCGTGAACTTTATAAACTGCAATAAACCGATATATCTGAAATAACCCATGTACACCCACCTCTTTAGCATTATTATAACAATTCATTTAACATTGTGTTGCCAGTACTAATTATAATTATCTCATTATGTTTATTAATTATGTTTATCTCCTATTTTTGTTGCACCAAATCAGATGTTCAATTTGTCTTGTGAATCTCAAATTGTATTCCTACTATTTTGTAATCTACTTATGCCCTATACCATTATTTTTAATAAATACCGGATGCGGGGCGTACTGTGGAATTGCACGATGTACCATAATAGGCAAACCTTAGACCTTTTGAAAAGCTTCAGTCTATGAAAATTCTTATAAAACTTGCAATTACCCCCCCTTTTTTTCCCTCTCAAAGAGTTAGTATGGGAAGGCATTACCAGTTGACCTATGGTACATCCCTGGTGTCCCCCATACATTTACTTTTACCTTTACCTATAGTCGAGATGCGCAAGCTACACTCGAGACAAATCGTATTACTACGACTCCCGCCTTTAAGCTACAGTCGAGATAAATCGTAGTACTACGACTCCCGCCTTTAATGTTATAATACTAATTACTGATAATAACTTTTTTCTTCTAGGTAGAACATAGTAATTATTTTAATTATTGAAGGTAGAATAAAAGTCCTAAAGCAATTTTTTCAAAATCCTGCAGTATGTTATATTTTCATTAGTATTTTTATGTTACAGAACGTTTTATATCGATTTATCCTAAATCAGAGATGGAATGAAACCTAAATGTTCTCGAGTCCAATCCGAAAACGCTCCCAAATTTATCGAATAACTCATTTCTCGAAATTCTTGAATCCTTCATATAAGATAAATAAAAAGGAGTGAGAAGGAGAGAAATACTTGGTTTAAAACTCAAATAATTTAATTAAAACAAAACTCAAAATGCCGTGAATGAGAAACAAAATTAAGAATACTGTACTTTAAAAAAAAAACGTGTATTTATTAAGAAGAAACACTAAGTTCATAATTAAAACTCTTGAATCTTAAAATTCATTTTTATAATTCAATAAGAATACTTCACTAATAACTCAGATTTTTACATTTTTTTTCAAGATCTTTTTGAAGCAAAGCAAATGCAGATGAGAATTACTTCAAAAGTTAACAAAGATAATTCTTCAAGACTAAAAACACTAAATTAACACAAAAATTAAATTATTAAAAACTGCACTTATTGCTTTTAAATTGCTCAGTTTATCATTTAATAACACATTGGTTTAATTTTAAAACGTAATTAGAGAGCTTCTATTTTTCTTAAAAGCAACGCTTTTAGAACAAGCAATGTTCAAAGGAGTACATAAGGTAAATTTATAAGGTATTTCTCCCGCCTTCGTGGTGTAGTGATCTGCACGCTGGGCGCGTATTCCAGAGGTCCGCGGATTCCCGGCGAAGGCGTTGTTAAATTTTCATCTCTCCTGCTTCAAAAATACCTAATCTATCTACAGTGGGGCCCGAGCTATAAAGGATGGTGGATGTTAATTCTCCACACGCAGGATTTGGCGATTGGGTCCCCTAAAAACCCCAGTCGTCCTTTAAAAGGGGGAGTATATAAGGTATTTCTCCCGCCTTCTTAGTGTGCCTTCGTGGTGTAGTGGACTGCACGCTGGGCGCGTATTCTAGAGGTCCGAGATTCGATTGTTCATTCGTCATCTTTCATCCTTCCAAAAACTCCTAATGACTCTACAAATGAAAGTTCTTACCTTTACAGTAATGGCAGCATATTTGTTTTATATTGCTTCTTTTTTCATCAGTAACGGTCTCATTAGTCTTAAAAAATAAATCAAAGATTTTTAATTTCAGTAGTTGGTAATATTCTAAGATTCAGTGACACATGAAAACACACAGTCAATAATTTGAATTTTAATGTTACGAGTAGTGGCAACACTGCATTTTAATTGTTCAATTGTTCAAACAATAGACATTGATTAAATATAAAAAACAAATTAAAGATATTCCATTCGGCCAAATGGCAGTACTCTTAATATCCTTTACACACGAACACATGGAAAAAAATTAGGGGTCTTATGGTTTGATCAGGGGGTTGATATAAAACGCTTTTCATGCTCATCAACTTCCATTTCATAGACACGATCTTCTCAACGAATTTTATTCTGCTATGGCGTGATTTTGTTTAGCATCCGATTACAATACGCCTTCTTTGGGGTACAAAAATATTCCCATACAAAAAAGGCTGTCCTCGCGGGAAAAGGCTTCCATTGTACATTGTTTACACTTTAACGCTGCAGATTAAATGAACATAGCCCAAAGTTACAACCAACACCGATTTTATGCTTGCTTTACTTTTCAAGCTAAGTTAAAAAGGCCAAGTATAACAGACATTATTTTCTCTTCATTTAAAAAATGGAGAAATAAAGGATAAAGGGGATTTAGTTCCGAAATCTCTTTCGCAGCGGGGTCATTCCAAGTTCGAGAAGAAATTTTCGCTCTTAGAAAAGTCCCCTCCTATACACATCATTACTCAAAGCATTTCAGGACCACGCGCAGGAAAGGGAGCAAGAAAATGGCGACTGCTCAGCCCCCTCCCAGCCAAATCTTTATAAAACGTCACGAAGTTTGTCTTCCCATTTTCATCTATCTTCTCCATTTCTTATAGATATTTACTAGGACTCCGAAATGAAGTATTGGGGAAAAAAGGAGAGAAAAGAAAAACTGAAAAAGAAGGTAATAAGGTTATCTTTCTCAGCCAGGAAGAGAATAGTTCTCGTTAAGATGAAAAAGTTTCAGATAAAAGCTATACTTCGTTTTTGGAAAAAAAAGTAATAATAATAAACTCTGTGCAGGAGAATGGTGTAGGATTGCAAGCAAGAACATCAAAGTTGACGTCATAAAATTTGAAAGAATTTCCTATTAACGAAGCGTTGCCAAGAAACATAACAAAAATGTCTTTCATAAACCATAAAGGACTGCATTAAGGATTAATTACAAACTTCTTCTCTTCTTGTAAAAATTATAAAAGCATAACTTCAAAGCGGGAAAGGACTTCGACATAATAGCAGTTCCGTTTTGTGTTTGATACATTCTTCTGTTCGAAAACAAATTAAAAAGAAAGCTTGTAATTCATGTTTCTGTCTGATACCATCCTTTGTGAAAAATATTTTTAAAGTTAATTAAATATTTTTAAACATCGAAGTAAAGGGTGTTCTGTTTGTTTATGAATTGAAGCCTTTCCATTGTAAAACATCTATTCAAATATGTTGCTGTTAGGTTTTCAGTTTTAAAAATAATATGCAAAGTTAATGAATAACTGCAATATTTTATTTATGTCCTCATTAATAAATAAGCATTATAAAAATTTCGAAATATTGTCATACTTATCAGTGGCCGACAAGGCCCGTGACTCAGTATTTTTTTTCAATTATGGAAATTGGGTAAATTTGCGCGCCTATATAAAACACAAATCAATTATACTTGTATATTTTTAATTTATTTAATACAAAAATGCGAGGAATGCATTTAACACAAAAACGTGGAAATGCACTAAGTAAAATTAGACATAAATTTTACAATAATTTTAATCGCAGTTTTTCTTAATTAATGCGCAAAATGTGTTTAAGCTGAAATATATGATTAGAAAGTATGGTTTGGATAATTCACTTAAAATTACTAACGTTAAAAATTATGAATTGTAACGAAATTAATATAAAAGATATTGCATTCATTTTCAGTACATTGATTTAAAATTTATTTTTTCCATTTATTTCAGCAAAATCCTCAATAATGTTTTTTTTTAATATTTGGTAAGTTAATTTATGTTTTATATCGTGAATTTCCATGTTCGACAGATCTTGACCAAGTGAGGGTCTTACATAATTTTTATTACTTTAAGTTAACTGAAATTTCTTTCATCTATGCAACAGTAAGTTGGTTACTAGAATATGGCAAAGCAAACACTGGATTTATTTGCCTAAGCGTAGATAGACATGTCTTTATAGGAGATTTTATGATGGCTCGTATTCTCGTTACACATGAAAAAAACACGAATACCACCACGCATCTTAACCATCTGGGCAACTAGCAACTGGCCAGTCTTTGCAGGCTAGAGAAGAATCACCATGGCTACCGAAACTTTGCTTTAAAAATTTCAATGTCGTTATGCTTATCTCTAAATCGTAATCAATATCGTTATAGAATCTCGGCTTCGGTAATCTTCTATGTGCTAGTGACATGTTCTGACAGGCAATATGCTCTTGAGGAACAGTTGGTAAACGTCACATTTCAGATGTAATAGATAAAATTCTGAAGAGAATTTTCGCGTTAGGCCTAAAAACGCCCCGCTGAGTAACTGGTTGCTACTGCATAATAACGGACCGCCACACAATTCCATTCTCCTCAAACAATTTCTTGCAACAAAAACGTAAAAATTCCAGCCACGCTTCTG